TTCCCCAGCATTTGAGCGGTGGGATCTTCGGGAGTTGTAGTTTCCCACGGTCTCGAGCCTTCTCCGACTGCAACTATTCTGCATAACGAATGCAGATGCTCGAACCCCTATGGCTCCTTGATATGAGGTCCCAAGAGTCGTCGTTTCTGGAAATTGTAGTTTCCCAAGGGCTTTAGCCTTCCCTGAGTGCATCTCTATATACTGTAGGACGACATGCAGAACAGCCATGGCTCCATCCTATGGGATCCTAGGGAGTTATAGTTTCCCAAGGGCTTCAGCCTTCCCTGAGTGCATCTCTATATGCTGTAGAAGGGCATGTAGAACAGCCATGGACCCATGCTATGGGATCCTGTGGGATTTATAGTTTCCGGGAGTTGTAGTTTCCCAAGGGCTTTAGCTGTCTTTGAGTCCATCTATTCTACACTGTAGCACGAATGCAGACGGACACAGCTTGAGCTGCCACAGCTCCATGATATGAGATCCCGAGAGTTGTAGTTTCTAGGAGGTATAGGCTCCCAAGGGCTTCAGCCTTCTCTGAGTGCATCTCTATGCTATAGGATCCTGGGGAATTATAGTTTCCGGGAGTTATAGTATGCTAAAGGATCCTGGGGAGTTATCGTTTCTGGGAGTTGTAGTTTCCCAAAGGCTTTAGCCTTCTCTGACTACATCTCTATGCTATAGGATCCTGGGGAGTTATAGTTTCCAGGAGTTATAGTTTCCCAAGGACTTTAGCTGTCTTTGAGTCCATCTATTCTACACTGTAGCACAAACACAGACAGACACTGCTTGAGCTTCCACTGCTCCATGATATGAAATCCTGAGAGTTATAGTTTCCGGGAGTTGTAGTTTCCCAAAGGCTTTAGCCTTCTCTGAGTGCATCTCTATGCTATAGGATCCTGGGGAGTTATAGTTTCTGGGAGTTATAGTATGCTGTAGGATCCTGGAGAATTATAGTTTCCGGGAGTTATAGTTTCCCAAGGGCTTTAGCCTTCTCTGAGTGTATCTCTATATACTGTAAAAAGACATGCAGAACAGTCATGGATCCATGCTATAGGATCCTGGGGAGTTATAGTTTCCAGGAGTTATAGTATGCTATAGGATCCTGGGGGAGTTATAGTTTCCAGGAGTTATAGTTTCCCAGGGGCTTTAACCTTCTCTGAATGTATCTCTATACACTGTAGAAAGACATGCAAAACAGCCATGGATCTATGCTATGGGATCCTGGGGAGTTATAGTTTCCAGGAGTTATAGTATGCTATAAGATCCTGGGGGAGTTATAGTTTCCAGGAGTTATAGTTTCCCAGAGGCTTTAACCTTCTCTGAGTGTATCTCTATACACTGTAGAAAGACATGCAAAACAGCTATGGATCCATGCTATGGGATCCTCGGGGGAGTTATAGTTTCCAGGAGTTGTAGTTTCCCAAGGGCTTCGGCCTTCTCTGAGTGCATGTCTATATACTATAGAATGACATGCAGAACTGTCATGGATCTATACTATGGAATCTTGGGGGAGTTATAGTTTCCGGGAGTTGTAGTTTCCCAAGGTCTTCTCTGAGCTATGGAACTACATATCCCATGGCTGTCAAAGTGCGCCTTCCTTTGCGTCAATGCAAACAGCCTTGCAGAAACGACAGCTCTTTAAGGGGTTAAAAGTGGTGTCAAACCGCATTAATTCCGCAGTGTGGACGGCCACCTGCCGAACTCAGTGGACCGTGGACGCGGCCAGGTGTGGCCTGCACACTTCAGTGGGCAAAAATGGGGCGTCCGGGGAAAGGAGGGTGAATCATTGCCAACTAGACAAGATACACCCCAGGAACGGAGCCTCCCGATTGGCCAGGCTCGTAGTCCCCATAAAGGTATAAAGGGGAGCGGGTTTGGGGGGGAACCTCCAACCGGGACCTTCTTCACCTTCTCTAAGACATCTCTACCGTCGCTTACAGGTAAGCAGATAGATAATACCCAGGAGACAGTTATATATATATATATATATATATATATATATATATATAGGATCTAACGTGAGCCAAGAGGGTGACACAGCAGCAGAAAAGGCCAATGCGATCCTAGGCTGCATCCATAGGAGTCTAATATATAATAATAATAATAATAATAATAATAATAATAATAATAATAATAATATCTAGGCTGATTCAATGAGAGTCTAGTGTCCAGACGGAGGAAAATAATATAATTATGGCTTGACCATAGTAATATATAGGAGTGGACATGAGCCAAGAGTGTGGCGCTGCAGCAGAAATGACCAATGCGATCCTAAGCTGCATCCATAGGAGTCTAATATATAATAATATTAATAATATCTAGGCTGCATCAATACGAGTCTAGTGTCCAGACGGAGGAAAATAATATAATTATGGCTTGACCACAGTAATTTATAGGACTGGACATGAGCCAAGACTGTGGCGCTGCAGCGGAAATGACCAATGCAATCCTAGGCTGCATCTATAGGAGTCTAGTATATAATAATAATAATAATAATAATAATAATAATAATAATAATAATAATATCTAGGGTGCATCAATGAGAGTCTAGTGTGCAGACGAAGGAAAATAATATAATTATGGCTTGACCACAGTAATATATTGGGCTGGACATGAGCCAAGAGGGTGATGCAGCAGCGGAAAAGGCCAATGCAATCCTAAGCTGCATCTCTAGGGCTCTAGATAGAGGAAAGCAATATAGATATGGCTTGATGATAGAAATATAGATGGCTGGACATGAGCCAAGAGTGTGACGCAGCAGCGGAAATGACTAATGTGATCCTAAGCTGCATCCATAGGAGTCTAATATATAATAATATTAATAATATCTACGCTGTATCAATAAGAGTCTAATGTCCAGATGGAGGAAAATAATATAATTATGGCTTGACCACAGTAATATATAGGGCTGGACATGAGCCAAGAGGGTGATGCAGCAGCGGAAATGACCAATACGATCCTAAGCTGCATCTCTAGGAGTCTAGATAGAGGAAATTAATATAGCCATAGCTTGACCACAGTAATATATAGAACTGGACATGAGCCAAGGCTGTGACGCAGCAGCTCAAAAGTCCAATGCGATCCTAGGCTGCATCCATAGGGAGGCACAGCATAAAATAATACAATAGTAACATGGTAATAGTAATATATAGCCATAAGTAATAAGCTTAGAGTCACAATGGCCTTTTCCACTGCAGCGTCACACTCTTGGCTCACGTCCAGCCCTATATGTTACTATGGTCAAGCCATGGCTATATTACTTTCCTCCATCCAGACCCTTGACTCCTATAGATGCAGCTTAGGATCGCATTGGCCTTTTCCGCTGCTGCGTCACCCTCTTGGCTCACGTCCAGCCCTATATATTACTATCGTCGAGCCATAATTATATTATTTTCCTCCATCTGGACACTAGGCACTTATTGATGCAGCCTAGATATTATTAATATTATTATATATTAGACTCCTTTGGATGTAGCCTAGGATCGCATTGGCCTTTTCCACTGCTGCATCACCATCTTAGGTCATGTCCAGCCCTATATATTACTGTGGTCAAGCCATTGCATTCCTCTAGCTAGATTCCTAGAGATGCAGCTTAGGATCACATTGGCCTTTTCTGCTACTGCATCACAGCCTTAGCTCACGTCTAGCCCTATATATTACTGTGGTCAAGCCATGGCAGATACCTAGAGATGCAGCCTAGGATCACATTGGCCTTTTCTGCTGCTGCGTCACCCTCTTAGCTCACATCCAGCCCTATATATTACTATCGTCAAGCCATAATTATATTATTTTCCTCTATCTGGACATGAGACTTTCATTGATGGAGAGTTATGGTACCCCTGCGGAAGTCTTGTCCAACACCTAGGTATTATTAATATTATTATATATTAGACTCCTATGGCTGCAGCTTAGGATTGTATCGACCTTTTGAGCTGCTGCATCACCCTCTTGGCTCATGTCCAGCCCTATATATTTCTATCATCAAGCCATGGCTATATTGCTTTCCTCTATCTAGATTCCTAGAGATGCAGCTTAAGATCACATTCGCCTTTTCCGCTGCTGCATCACAGCCTTGGCTCACGTAAAGCCCTATATATCACTATGGTCAAGCCATGGCGGATACCTAAAGATGCAGCCTAGGATCACATTGGCCTTTTCTGCTGCTGTGTAACCCTCTTAGCTCATGTCCAGCCCTATATATTACTATGGTCAAGCCATAATTCTATTATTTTCCTCTTTCTGGACATGAGACTTTCATTGATGGAGAGTTATGGTACCCCTGCGGAAGTCTTGTCCAACACCTAGGTATTATTAATATTATTATATATTAGACTCCTATGGATGCAGCCTAGGATCGCATTGGCCTTTTCCGCTGCTGCATCACCCTCTTGGCTCATGTCCAGCCCTATATATTACTGTGGTCAAGCCATAATTATATTATTTTCCTCCATCTAGACACTAGACTCTTATTGATGCAGCCTAGATAGTATTAATATTATTAGACTCCTATGGATGCAGTTTAGGATCGCATTGGCCTTTTCCACTGCTGCATCACCATCTTAGGTCATGTCCAGCCCTATATATTACTGTGGTCAAGCCATTGCATTACTCTAGCTAGATTCCTAGAGATGCAGCTTAGGATCGCATTGGCCTTTTCTGCTGCTGCATCACAGCCTTGGCTCACGTCTAGCCCTAGATATTACTGTGGTCAAGCCATGGCGGATACCTAAAGATGCAGCCTAGGATCGCATTGGCCTTTTCCGCTGCTGCATCACACTCTTGGTTCATGTCCAGCCCTATATATTACTATCGTCAAGCCATAATTATATTATTTTCCTCCATCTAGACACTAGACTCTTATTGATGCAGCCTAGATATTATTAATATTATTATATATTAGACTCCTATGGATGCAGCTTAGGATCACATTGGGCTTTTCCGCTGCAGTGTCGCTCTCTTGACTCACGCCCAGCCCTATAAATCTTCTCTTTCTGACTTGCAGCCCAATGTCGACCGCCCTGGAGAAAGCCATAGGCACCATGGTGGTGACTTTCCACAAATACACCCAGAAGGAAGGCGACAAGTTCAAACTCAACAAAGCCGAGCTCAAGGAGCTGCTCCAAAATGAGCTGCCCGTCCTCAACAGCGTAAGTCCTCAATGCAAACGTTGGGCCATTGCATCACCTCTATTGACGCCCATGCCATCAAATAAAGTGCGCAGGCTTCATTGTGGTTTGCAAAGGCCTGCTTTGCAAAGGAAAGCATCACCGATTTATTAATATGTCGCTTGTTATAGATATCCATTTTAATATGTGCATTTGTAGTATTTTTTGCAATGTATTATTATTATTAATTTGTAATTTATTTTCATGTTTATTCTTAATTTATTTTATTTTATTTGTTTAATTTTAGTTTTATTTATTGTTTATCAGATATTACTTACTTTTCATGTTTATTCTTAATTTATTTTTATTCTTAATTTGTTTTTATTTTATTTTTACTTATTTAGTTTTAATTTCATTTATTGTTTATCAGTTAGTATTTACTTTTAATTTATTTTCCATGTTTATTCTTAATTTCTTTTTCTTTTTATTGGTTTTTATTTTATTTTACTTATTTAATTTTAATTTCATTTATTGTTTATCAGTTAGTATTTACTTTTAATTTACTTTTCATGTTTATTCTTTATTTCTTTTTCTTTTTATTTGTTTTTTTAAATTTTATTTTTATTTTATTTATTTTTTACCAGTTAGTATTTACTTTTAATTTATTTTTCATGTTTATTCTTAATTTATTTTTATTTTTATTGGTTTTTATTTTATTTTACTTATTTAATTTTAATTTCATTTATTGTTTATCAGTTATTATTTACTTTTAATTTACTTTTCATGTTTATTCTTTATTTATTATTATTATTATTATTATTATTATTATTATTATTATTATTGCTTTTTCTCCCAGAAACGGATGGACGCGGCCGAATTGCAGAAGATCATGACCGACCTGGACCACAACCGGGACCACGAGGTGGACTTCCAGGAGTTCTGCTGCTTCCTGTCCTGCGTGGCGATGGGCTTCGAGGAGTTCTTCCGGGGCTGCCCCAAACCCCCGCTGCCTCGCAAGTGAGCCTTCCCGGCCACCTGTCAATCAATCAAAGGCATTACAATAAAATACAGATACAAATAAAGAGTGTGTGTGTGCCCTGCCAATGTCCTCCACCAATGCCACATCACCACCACCCAAGGGAAGGCTTTCACACGGGGACAACTCCATCCTAGATTGTATGTGTTTCCTCCACCACAGGCATCCCAGTGTTCCTTTCTCTCTCCATTGATGTCAAATTTTCATGACCCCCACCCACTACCTCTCCCTTCATCCTTTCCTACTCTTTTCTATCAAACACAACAAACAGAATCGATTTTGGGGGGCATCCCAGTATTCCTTTCTCTCTCCATTGGTGTCAAATTTCCATGACCATGCCCACTACCTCTCGTTTCACTCTTTTCTACTCTTTTCTATTGAACACAACAAACAGAATAGAATTGGGGGGTGAGCATCCCAGTGTTCCTTTCTTTTTCCATTGATGTCAAATTTCCACGAACCCGCCCACTACCTCTCCCTTCACCCTTTCCTATTCTTTTCTATGGAACACAACAAACAGAATAGAATTTTGGGGGCATCCCAGTGTTCCTTTCTCTCTCCATTAGTGTCAAATGTCCATTACCCTGCACACTACCTCTCCATTCACCCTTTCCTACTCTTTTCTATGGAACACAACAAACAGAATAGAATTGGGGGGCATGCCAGTGTTCCTTTCTCTCTTCATTAGTGTCAAATTTCCATGACCCCCGCCCACTACCTCTCCCTTCACCCTTTCCTACTCTTTTCTATGGAACACAACAAACAGAATAGAATGGGGGGGGGGGGCATCCCAGTGTTCCTTTCTCTCTCCATTGGTGTCAAATGTCAATTACCCCGCACACTACCTCTCCCTTAACCCTTTCCTTCTCTTTTCTATGGAACACAACAAACAGAATAGAATTTTTTTTGGGAGGGATTCACTTTGCTTTGGGGGAGTTGTAGTTCACCTACATCCAGAGAGCACTCTGAACTCAAACACCAATGGATCTGGACCAAATTTGGCATGAATACCTGATATGCCGAAATGTGATTACTGGAGGGCTTTGTTTGGGGGGAACTGACCTTACTTTGTGGGAGTTGTAGTTCACCCTCAACCAGGGAAATGGTGACCTCCACCGAGGATAGATCTGGACCAAACTTGGCACATAGAACCCCCATGAGTAACTCAACTGACTGGAGTGGTTTGAGGGGATTGGTTCAACATAGTGGGAGTTGTAGTTCACCCTGCATCCAGAGAGCACACTGAACCCTACCCATGATGCCTTTGCCCCATAACAACAATCTCTTCTCCGGCCTTCCTTGCAATGATGGCGTTGATATCAAGCAGGAATTTGGGGCTCTTTGCCAGGAAATAGAGACTGATCAGACCCACCAAGAAGAGTCCATTCGCCCTGGCGAAACAGAAAGAAGCACCCAAAGAATTTTCCCTAATTTTTCCCAATAAAAGTCTCACCAAGTTGAAGAAAAGCCACCGAGAAGAAGGGCACCAATTTTAGAGCAATGCGTTGACCTGCGGATACGGGGACTCAATAGGGTTTCCGTATCCGCGGTTCAGAGGAGTGCAGTTTCAGCCTCCCCAGAATGCGAAAACCCACCCATGGTGCCTTTGCCCCATAATAACGATCTCTTCTCCGGCCTTCCTTGCAATGACGGCGGTGATATCTGTTGAACGCCAGATCTGTCAATGGTAAAACAACTTTCATCCAGGATTTAATCCTGGATGAACGGGCAGATCTGGCGTGCATCACAGAGACCTGGTTGGACGAAGCGGGAGGTGTAAATTTGACCCAGCTTTGTCCACCAGGTTTCTCTGTGCAGCACCAACCGAGATCCGGAGGGCGGGGAGGCAGTGTTGCAGTGGTCTATAGAGACTCCATTCGTCTGACCAGGGCCCTCATCCCGCAGTCAACAAATTTTGAATCCGTCCACCTGAGGGTGGATGACCGGGACAGACTAGGGATTCTGTTAGTGTACCGTCCACCTCGCTGCACTACAGTCTCCCTGCCTGAGCTAGTGGGGGTGATCTCGGACCTGGCATTGGAGTCCCAACGGCTGCTTGTGCTAGGGGACTTCAATGTCCATGCCGAGACCACCTTATCGGGAGCGGCTCAGGACTTCATGTCTACCATGGCAACCATGGGGCTGTCCCAACAGGTATCTGGCCCCACCCACAGTGCTGGACACACATTGGACTTGGTTTTCTGCCAGGGATGGGAGGAAGGTGGCGGTGTTGAGGAGTTATCCATCTCTCCGTGGCCATGGACCGACCACCACCTGGTCAGCTTTAGACTCACTGCACCCCCTAACCTCCGCAGAGGTGGAGGACCCATTAAACTGGTCCGCCCCAGGAGGCTTATGGATCCGGATGGATTCCTGATGGCTCTTGGGGAATTTCCCGCCGCCTCGGTTGGTGATCCTGTCGATGCCCTGGTCGCTCTCTGGAATGGGAGATGACTAGGGCAATAGACACGATCGCTCCAGAACGTCCCCTCTCAAGTAGCCGAGCTAAACCAGCTCCTTGGTTTACCGAGGAGCTGGCAGCGTTGAAGTGAAAGAAGAGGGAACTAGAGAGCGTGTGGCGTTCGGATCCGAGCGAGCCAAATCGAACACGGTTTGTGTCCTTTTTAAGGGCATATGCCGCGGCAATAAAAGCCGCAAAGAAGGCTTTCTTTGCGGCCACTATTGCGTCTGCAAAGAACCGTCCGGCTGAACTGTTCCGAGTTGTCAGAGGCCTGTTAAAACCCACCACTCAGGATGGGTGCCCTGATGACTCGGCAGCTCGCTGTGAAGCTTTTGCTCAGTTCTTTGCAGACAAAGTCGCTTTGATCCGCTCTGGACTGGACACCATATTAATGGCAGTCTCTGAGTATGCCGCGGCAATAAAGGCCGCAAAGAAAATTTTCAATTGGTTCAATCCGAGGATGTGGACAAGGTGCTTGGAGGAATGAGAGCTACCACATGCATCCTAGACCCCTGCCCATCCTGGCTTCTGAAGGAGGCCAGAGGGGGATTGGCCGAGTGGTGAAGGTGGTGGTTAATGCCTCCCTTCGGGAAGGCAAAATTCCAGCCAGCTTAAAGCAAGCTGTAATAAAACCGCTGTTGAAGAAGCCATCACTGGACCCCACTCAATTCGTCAACTATCGGCCTGTTTCCAATCTCCCCTTTTTGGGCAAAGTCATGGAACGTGTGGTGGCCTCACAACTCCAGGCATTCTTGGTAGACACGGATTATCTAGATCCGGCACAGTCTGGCTTTAGGCCGGGGCATGGTACCGAGACAGCCTTGGTCGCCTTAGTGGATGATCTGCGCCGGGAGCTCGACAGGGGGAGTGTGTCCCTGTTGGTGCTGCTGGACCTCTCAGCAGCCTTCGATACCATCGACCACGGTATCCTTCTGGGACGCCTCGCGGGGATGGGTCTTGAAGGGACTGTTCTGCAGTGGCTCCGCTCATTCCTCGAGGGCCGGTCTCAGAAGGTGTTTCTGGGAGACTCCTGTTCAACCCCACAACCATTGTCTTGTGGAGTTCCTCAGGGTTCAATACTGTCTCCCATGTTGTTTAACATCTACATGAAGCCGCTGGGTGAGATCATCCGGAGTTTCGGAGTGTGGTGTCATCTGTACGCAGATGATGTCCAACTCTGTCACTCCTTCCCACCTGCTACTAAGGAGGCTGTCGAGGTCCTGAACCGGTGCTTGGCCGCTGTGACGGTCTGGATGGGGGCGAACAAATTGAAATTGAATCCAGACAAGACAGAGGTACTCCTGGTCAGTCGCAAGGCCGAACAGGGTATAGGGTTACAGCCTGTGTTGGATGGGGTCGCACTCCCCCTGAAGACGCAGGTTCGCAGTTTGGGTGTGATCCTGGACTCATCGCTGAGCCTGGAACCCCAGGTTTCGGCGGTGACCAGGGGAGCATTCGCACAGCTAAAACTTGTGCGCCAGCTGCGCCCGTACCTTGGGAAGTCTGACTTGGCCACGGTAGTCCACGCTCTGGTTACATCCCGTCTTGACTACTGCAATGCTCTCTACGTGGGGTTGCCTTTGAAGACGGCCCGGAAGCTCCAATTAGTCCAACGGGCGGCAGCCATGATACTAACGGGAGCGGAGCGCAGGGAGCATACAACTCCCCTGCTGCACCAGCTCCACTGGCTGCCGATTTGCTACCGGGCTCAATTCAAAGTGCTGGCGTTGGCCTTTAAAGCCCTAAACGGTTCTGGCCCAACTTACCTATCCGAACGTATCTCGGCCTATCAGCCCACCAGGACCCTAAGATCTTCTGGGGAGGCTCTGCTCTCCACCCCGCCTGCTTCACAGGTGCGGCTTGCGGGAACGAGAGACAGGGCCTTTTCTGTGGTGGCCCCTCGGCTTTGGAACGCCCTCCCCATAGAGGTAAGATCAGCCCCCTCGCTGATGGTGTTTCGAAAAAGATTGAAGACATGGATGTTCAAACAAGCATTTGGTTAATCCGAGGCAATAAAATTGTTGATTAAGGACTGGTAACCATGGACGATGAAATTGGATTACGATTCTAGTTAAGAGATGCATTGGATTATATTGGTGGCCCAATATTATGTATTGTATGTTGTTTTATGCTTTTAAACTGAATATTGTTGATTGTTGTGGAGTTGTAAACCGCGTTGAGTCGCCAATTTAGGCTGAGAAACGGCGGTATACAAGCGCAGTAATAAATAAATAATAAATAAATAAATTTGGGAGTCTTTGCCAGGCGGTAGAGATCAATCAGACCCACCAAGAAGAGTCCGTTTGCCCTGGCGAGACAGAAAGAAGCACCCAAAGAATTTTCCCTAATTTTTCCCAATAAAAGTCTCACCAAGTTGAGGAAAAGCCACCGAGAAGAATGGCACCGATTTTAGAGCAATGCGTTGACCCGCGGATACGGGGACCCAATGGGCTTCCGTATCCGCGGTTCAGAAGAGCGCAGTTTCAGCCTCCCCAGGATGCGAAAATTGCATCCTGGGTGGCCTGGCAGCGGTCTTCAGTCCGGGAGAGAGAAAGTTAATGCAAAGAATAGTTTGGAGGCAGTAAAGGACACAAAGTAACACTATAGAGAGGGGGAAAGTTACAATTTATTGATACTTTATTAGGGGGATTTGTTACAATGTTAGGAAGGGGAAAGGAAGTAAAACAGAAGGAGAGTCTTTCAGTGGAAGCTGCTGCTGGGGCCACATTAAATGGAAGCTGGCCCAAGTGGGCAAAGGAGAACTGCGGAACTCCCTGCTGCGGGTCAGATCAGCTCGAAGGCAGGGAGTTCTGGGTTGTTCGTCTTCCAGCAGGATGCAATAAATATACGAATGGGGAAGGATGCAACCTGCATTTAGCCTTTTTGGAAGGAGACGGTAATGAATGTTTGCAACGGCCTGTCTTTGGAGCCTGGCGCCTGCGAGTTGCACCAACCTGCCAATCAAGGGAGAGGCCCAGAAATGAATATTGCTTGCAGAAAAAGGGACTATTTCAAATCCTTGGGAGTTGTAGTTCCCCAAGGACCAGGGCCATAGCCTTCTCTGAGCGCATCTCTGTACTGTACAATGGATGCCATGTACAGTACAGGGCTCTGCCTGGGAGTTGTAGTTCCCCAAGGACCAGGGACATAGCCCTGTCCTGGGAGCTGTAGTTCCCCAAGGACCAGGGCCATAGCCTTCTCTGAGTGCATCTCTGTACTGTACAATGGATGCCAACCGCCATGGCTCAGTGTGATGGGGTCCTGTCCTGGGAGTTGTAGTTCCCCAAGGACCAGGGACATAGCCCTGTCCTGGGAGTTGTAGTTCCCCAAGGACCAGAGCCACAGCCTTCTCTGAGTGCATCTCTGTACTGTACAATGGATGCCAACTGCCATGGCTCAGTGCGATGGGGCTCTGCCTGGGAGTTGTAGTTCTCCAAGGTCCATTGCGCTGTCCTGGGAGTTGTAGTTCCCCAAGGACCAGGGCCATAGGCTTCTTTGAGTGCATCTCTGTACTGTACAATGGATGCCAACCGCCATGACTCAGTGTGATAGGGTCCTGTCCTGGGAGTTGTAGTTCCCCAAGGACCAGCGCCATAGCCCTGTCCTGGGAATTGTAGTCCCCCAAGGACCAGGGCCATAGCCTTCTCTGAGTGCATCTCTGTACTGTACAATGGATGCAAACCGCCGTGGCTCAGTGCGATGGGGCCCTGTCCTGGGAGTTGTAGTTCCCCAAGGTCCGTAGACCTCTTGGCCAATGAGTGCCAAGATACTACAACTCCCAGTCTTGCTCTGCCTTGAGTGTTGAGCAGAGGGAAGTCAGAAATACATTATTATTTTATATATTATTTGATTACCTTTCAGATTATTATGATTTTGTATTATTATGATATATTATTCATATATTATTTTATATTATTATTGTTGCATTATATTTTATATTATTGCTTTATATTATTGTATTATATTATATTATATTATATATATATTATTTCATATTATTATTGTTGCATTATATTTTACATTATTCTTTTATATTATTGTATTATATTATATTATATTGTTCATGTTATTTTATATTGTTATTATTGCATTATATTTTATATTATTGTTTTATATTATATTATATTGTTCATATGTTATTCTATATTATTATTGTTGCATTATATTTTATATTATTGTTTTATATTATTGTATTATATTATATTATAATATAAGATATTGTTATATTATATTATTGTTTTATATTATATTATTGCTTTACATTAATATTATAATATTATAATATTTTATATTTTTATTAATATTATTAATATGTTATTATTATACTATTTTGTATTATTTTATGACATTTTATGTTGCTAGTATGATGGCGCATGCCTGCAAAGTGTGCAAATGTGAGGGTGGTTTTTTGACAGGATAATGACCGGCTGTTGCAAGAGCGCAATTGGCAAATCTGGTTTTGCAAGTCACTCCTTTTCTCTTTTTGGGAACTACAAGTCCCAGCATCCCTTCCTCCTTTTGCATTGCAAGGCTGCCATTGCTGCTCAAAGCAGGTGAGTCACTTCCCTTTCCCCAAAAAGTGTGGTTTTAATATTATTTTTATGGAGTCAATGGGATGTGAAAGCCAAAAGTACGGGATTTGATTGCATTGCAAGCATTGCAAGAGATTTCCGCCCAGGCCTGGCACTGGGTTTCGCCCGGCGACAAATTGTTTGTTTTCTCAGCATCCCAAATATGTCACAATGCCCTCCTTCCCATTTTTAGGCAGAGACGGGTGCAAATTCTTCAGGTTGTTGTTGTTGTTGTTATGTTGCTGTGAGTCTTCTGGGCTGTATGGCCATGTTCCAGCAGCATTCTCTCCTGACATTTTGCTCACATCTATGGCAGGCATCCTCAGAGGTTGAGAGTGTTGTTATTATATGATATCATATCATATCATATCATATTATATTATATTATTTACTACATTTATATACCGCCCCTCTCAGCCCACAGGTGACTCGGAGCAGTTTATATCATATAATATATTATTATTTTATTGCTATTATTATATTGTTATATTTGTATTATTATATTTTTCTGTATTATATTATTACTCAATTATGTTTTATTCAGCTATTGTAACTGTTATATTATATTATATTAGTATACTATATTATATTATTATGATTATTATATCATATATTATTATTTTATTGGTATTGCTATATTATTATAGATGGATAGATGCATAGGTAAACGTATACATTCATAGATACATGGATGGATGGATAGAAGATAGATAGATGGATGGATGGATGGATGGATGGATGGATGGATAGATGCATAAATAGATAGAGAGATGGATGGATAGATGCATAGGTAAATGTATAGATACATAGATACATGGATGGATGGATGGATGGATAGATAGATAGGTGGATGGATGGATGGATGGATGGATGGATGGATAGATGGATAGATAGATGCATAAATAGAGAGATGGATGGATAGATGCATAGGTAAATGTATAGATACATAGATACATGGATGGATGGATAGATAGATAGATAGATAGATGGATGGATGGATGGATGGATGGATGGATAGATGCATAAATAGATAGAGAGATGGATGGATAGATGCATAAATAGATAGAGAGATGGATGGATAGATGCATAGGTAAATGTATAGATACATAGATACATGGATGGATGGATGGATAGATAGATGGATGGATGGATGGATGGATGGATGGATGGATAGATGCATAAATAGATAGAGAGATGGATGGATAGATGCATAGGTAAATGTATAGATAGATAGATGGATGGATAGATAGATAGATAGATAGATAGATAGATAGATGCATAAATAAAAAGAGATATGGATGCATGGATGGATTGATAGATGCATAGGTAAATGGACAGATAGATAGATAGATAGATAGATAGATAGATAGATAGATAGATAGATAGATAGATAGATAGATAGATAGATAGAAAGATAGATTCATAGGTAAAGGTATAGATACATAGATACATGGATGGATGGATGGATGGATGGATGGATGGATGGATGGATGGATGGATGGATGGATGGATAGATACATAAATAGATAGAGAGATGCATAGATAGATAGATAGATAGATAGATAGATAGATAGATGGATGGATGGATGGATGGATGGATGGATGGATGGATGTATACGACCATAGATCTGGAAGGAACCCCAATGGCCATCGAGTCCAGCCCCCTTCTTTCTGCGAGGCAGGAAGGCACAGTGAAAACTCTCCCAACAGATGGCCATCCAACCTCCAGAGAAGGGAGGGGACTCGGCCAGGCTCCGGCTCCCCAAGGGCCCCCTAGCCTAACCCCCTGGCCTGAGTTGTGTGTCCCTTGTCCCCTTGCGTGCCAGGCGATGATGCACCCTCCGCTGGAAGAGGCGCTGGGCGTGATGGTGAACACCTTCCACAAATACTCGTCCCGGGAGGGAGACCCCTTGAAGCTCAACACGGACGAGATGAAGGAGCTGCTCGTCCACGAACTGCCCACCTTCGTCCGGGTAAGGCAGCTTGGCCTCTGTCCGCACGGCAGGGGATTTAATGCGGTTTAACGCCACTTTACACCACCACCCCAGCTCCATGCCACAGCTCCCTGGGAGTTGTAGCTTGCCTCCCTTTGCCAAACCAGAGAAGGCTAAGGACCTTGGGAAACTACAACTCCCACCATCTCTTATGCCTGGAGCCAGTGAGGCCAAAAATGCATGTGTTTCTATACTATAAATGCACCCATAGAAGGTTAAGAACCTTGGCAAACTATAACTCCAATGACCCCATTGTATTGAGCGAGGGTCAAAATGCATGCATTCTGTGCTATGATATGGAGGCGCCGATAGAAGGTTGAGGACCTTGGGAAACTATAACTCCCACGATCGTATTGCATGCAGCCAGAGCAGGGGAAGTAGGGTCAAAAATGCATTATAAATGCACCTATAGAAGGCTGAGGACCTTGGGAAACTATAAATCTCACGATCCGGTTGCATGGACCAAAAACAGGCTGAGGATCTTGGGAAACTATAAATCTCACAATCCGGTTGCATGGACGAAAAACAGGCTGAGGATCTCGGGAAACTATAAATCTCACGATCCGGTTGCATGGACCAAAAACAGGCTGAGGACCTTGGGAAACTATAAATCTCACAATCCAGTTGCATGGACTAAAAACAGGCTGAGTATCTTGGGAAACTATAAATCTCAGAATCCGGTTGCATGGACCAAAACAGGCTGAGGATCTTGGGAAACTATAAAACTCACAATCCGGTTGCATAGACCAAAAACAGGCTGAGGACCTTGGGAAACTATAAATCTCACAATCTGGTTGCATGGACCAAAAACAGGCTGAGGATCTTGGGAAACTATAAATCTCAGAATCCGGTTGCATGGACCAAAAACAGGCTGAGGACCTTGGGAAACTATAAATCTCACAATCTGGTTGCATGGACCAAAAGCAGGCTGAGGACCTTGGGAAACTAGAAATCTCACGATCTGGTTGCATAGACCAAAACCAGACTGAGGATCTTGGGAAACTAGAAATCTCACGATCCGGTTACATGGACGAAAACCAGGCTGAGGATCTTGGGAAACTATAAATCTCACGATCCAGTTGCATGGACTGAAAGTAAAAGCAGGACTGAAAACAATGCATGCATTCTTATGGCATGAAGGCACCCATTGAAGGCTAAGGACCTTGGAAAACTACAATTCCCAGCATCCTGTTGCATGGAGCCAGGGGACTGAATGCAGGCCAAGACAATGCATGCATTCTATGGTATGGATGGGCCCATTGAAAGCTGAGGACCTTGGGAAACTATAATTCCCATGATACCATTGCATTGAGAGAGAGGAGTGAAAGCCGAGCCAAAAAATGCATGCATTCTGTGCTATGGAGGCGCCCATTGAAGGCTAAGGACCTTGGGAAACTATAACTCCCACAATCCCTTTGCATTGAGCCAGGGGAGTGAAAGCAGAGCCAAAAAAATGCATGCATTCTATGGTATGGTATGGTTGTGCCCATAGAAGGCTAAGGTCCTTGGGAAACTATAACTCCCAGGATTGTGTTGGATTGAGCCAGGGCTTCCTTCCTTCTTTCCTTCTTGCAGGGGAAGATCCACGAGGTGGGGCTGGAGACCGTGATGCGGAAGCTGGACAGCAACAAGGACGGCGAACTGGACTTCCCGGAATACGCGGTCTTCCTGGCTTTGGTGGCCAACCTCTGCCACGAGTTCTTTGCCGAGTGTGCCGACGAGAAGAACCGCAAGAGATGAGCAGCAAGAGCCACCCAAGGGTCTTCTGCAGGCCTGGGCCAACTCTGGCCCTCCCTCCAGGGGTTTTGGACTCCAACTCCCACCATTCCTAACAGCCTACCGGCTGTTAGGAATGGTGGGAGTTGGAGTCCAAAACACCTGGAGGGAGGGCCGAAGTGGGCCCAGGCCTGGCCCATAGCTTTAATCCTGCATTTGCAAAAGGAAAATAAAAACAGTTCAGACACGAAACCACGTGTTCGTCCTCTTTGCAAGGCACCGCAATGGGGATCATTCTCATTTTGCCAAAAAAAAAAATGCAATTAAAAAAAAATTGGTGCAAAAAAAATTGCATTTTTTTTGCAAAAAACCCCAACTTTTTCGCAAAAATAGAATGACAGTGGGTTTTTTCTTGCAAAAACAAATTCTGAATATTTTTGCAAATCAGAATGACTTTTTGCAAAAAAGAAATTGGTTTTTTTTTGCAAATCAGGATGACTTTCTTTGCAAAAAGTATTTGATTTTTTTTTTTTTTTTTTGCAAATCAAAATGACTTTTTTGCAAATACAATTTTTTTGGCAAATCTGAATGACATTTTTGCAAAAAAGTATTTGATTTTTTTTGCAAATCAGGATGACTTTCTTTGCAAAAAATATTTGATTTTTTTTGCAAATCAGAATGACTTTTTTGCCAAAAAAAAATATTTTTTTTTGCAAATCTGAATGACATTTTTTGCATAAAGAATTTGAAAATTTTTTTGCAAATCCGAATGACATTTTTTGCAGAAAAATAATACCATTTTTTGCACTTTGGGGGCTACAACCTTGCTAGCTTTGGGGATACAAAAGGGGCCACTTTTGTGGCTGTGTTCGTAACACATTGGGGGCCACAACATGCCATTCTTACACCTATAATCCGACCACTTTCGGGGCTACAACTGGGTCATTTTTGGGGTGACGACAGGCTGTGAAGGGGACACTTTTGGAGACACAACTGGGTCACCTTTGAGGCGATATTCATACCACTTTGGGGGCTACAACTGGACACTTTTGGGGTTAGGATGGTGCCACTTTTAGCACTTTGGGGACCATGAAAGTACCATTTTCCAGACTACAAAGGTGACACTTTGGGGGCTATAAGCCTGCCACTTTGGGGGTGCAAAGGGGCCACTTTTGGAGTTGCATTTGTACCACTTTGGGGCTATGATTTGAAACTTTTTGGGTCAGTTTGTGCCACTTTTGGGGCTACGACCATGCCATTCTTACGCCTATATCCTACCACTTTCGGGGTTACAACTGGTCCATTTTTGGGGTGACAGCAGGATGCGAAGGGGCTGCTTTTGGAGACACAACTGGGTCACCTTTGCGACAATATTTGTACCACTTTAGGGGCTATGAATGGACACTTTTGGGGTGAGGATAGTGCCACTTTTAGCACTTTGGGGACTATGAAAGTCCCATGTTTCAGGCTACGAAGGACCCACTTTTATGGCTGTGTTCATACCCCTTTGGGGCTATGATGGTGCCAATTTTGGGGCTACAAAGGTGACACTTTAAGTGCTATAGTTCTGTCTCTTTTGGGGTTACAACCATGCCATTATTACACCTACAATCCTATGACTTTCGGGGCTGCAACTGGGTAATTTTTGGGTGACAGTAGGCTGCAAAGGGGCCTCTTTTGGAGACACAACCAGGTCACTTTTGGGGTGATATTCATACCAATTTGGGGGCTATGATTGGACACTTTTGGGGTGAGGATGGTGCCACTTTTAGCATTGTGGGGGCTACAGAAGTGTCCTTTTTCAGGCTGTGATGATGACAGTTTTGGGGCTATAAGCCTAGCAATTTGGAGGTGGAAAGTGGCCACTTTTGGGTTGTATTTGTACCACTTTGGGGTCATGATGGTGTCAATTTTGGGGCCACAAAAGTGACACTTTTGGGGCTATAATCCTGCCTCTTTTGGGGGGTACAACCATGCCATTCTTATCTCTATAATCCTACAATTTTCGGGGCTGTGAGTGGGTCATTTTTTGGGGTGACGACAGGCTGCGAAGGGGTCACTTTTGGAGACACAACCTTTGGGGTGATATTTGTACCACTTTGGGGGCTATGAATGGACACTTTTGGGGTGAGGACAGTGTCACTTTTAGCACTTTGGGGACTACGAAAGTGCCATTTTTCAGGCTGCAAAGATGACACTTTGGGCTGCAACGGGGTCATTTTTGGGGTGACYACAAGCTGCAAAGGGGCCAGTTTTGGAGACACAACCGGGTCACCTTTGGGGCGATAGTTGTACCAATTTGGGGGCTACGAATGGACACTTTTGGGGTGAGAACGGTGCCACTTTTAGCACTTTGGGGGCTACGAAAATGCCATTTTTCAGGCTGCAAAGGTGACACTTTGGGGGCTCCAAGTGTGCTGTGTTTAGTTTACGCCTATAATCATATCACTTTTGGGGTTGCAACGGGGTCGTTTTTGGGGTGCCGACAAGCTGCAAAGGGACCGCTTTTGGGGATACACCTGGGTCACCTTCGTACCTCTTTGGGGGCTACAACTGGACACTTTTGGGGTTAGGATGGTGCCACTTTTAGCACTTTGGGGACCATGAAAGTACCATTTTCCAGACTACAAAGGTGACACTTTGGGGGCTATAAGCCTGCCACTTTGGGGGTGCAAAGGGGCCACTTTTGGAGTTGCATTTGTACCACTTTGGGGCTATGATTTGAAACTTTTTGGGTCAGTTTGTGCCACTTTTGGGGCTACGACCATGCCATTCTTACGCCTATATCCTACCACTTTCGGGGTTACAACTGGTCCATTTTTGGGGTGACAGCAGGATGCGAAGGGGTTGCTTTTGGAGACACAACTGGGTCACCTTTGCGACAATATTTGTACCACTGTTTCAGGCTACGAAGGACCCACTTTTATGGCTGTGTTCATACCCCTTTGGGGCTATGATGGTGCCAATTTTGGGGCTACAAATGTGACTCTTTAAGTGCTATAGTTCTGTCTCTTTTGGGGTTACAACCATGCCATTATTACACCTACAATCCTATGACTTTCAGGGCTGCAACTGGGTAATTTTTGGGTGACAGTAGGCTGCAAAGGGGCCACTTTTGGAGACACAACCAGGTCACTTTTGGGGTGATATTCATACCAATTTGGGGGCTATGATTGGACACTTTTGGGGTGAGGATGGTGCCACTTTTAGCATTGTGGGGGCTACAGAAGTGCCCTTTTTCAGGCTGTGATGATAACAGTTTTGGGGCTATAAGCCTAGCAATTTGGAGGTGGAAAGTGGCCACTTTTGGGTTGTATTTGTACCACTTTGGGGTCATGATGGTGTCAATTTTGGGGCCACAAAAGTGACACTTTTGGGGCTATAATCCTGCCTCTTTTGGGGGGTACAACCATGCCATTCTTATCTCTATAATCCTACAATTTTCGGGGCTGTGAGTGGGTCATTCTTTGGGGTGACAACAGGCTGCGAAGGGGTCACTTTTGGAGACACAACCGGGTCACCTTTGGGGCAATATTCATAACAATTTGGGCACTACGAATTGACACTTTTGGGGTGAGGAGGGTGCCACTTTTAGCACTTTGGAGGCTACAAAAGTACCATTTTTCAGGCTGCAAAGGTGCAACTGGGTCATTTTTGGGGTGACGACAAGCTGTGAAGGGGCCACTTTTGGAGACACAACCGGGTCACTTTTGGGGAGATATTCATACCAATTTGGGGGCTACGAATGGACACTTTTGGGGTGAGGATGGTGCCACTTTTAGCACTTTGGGGGCTACGAAAGTGCCATTTTTCAGGCTGCAAAGGTAACACTTTGGGGGCTCCAAGTGTGCCATGGTTATGCTATAATCATATCACTTTTGGGGTTGCAACGGGTTCATTTTTGGGGTGCCGACAAGCTGCAAAGAGGCCGCTTTTGGGGATACAGCTGGGTCACCTTCGTACCTCTTTGGGGGCTACAACTGGACACTTTTGGGGTGAGGATTGTGCCACTTTTACCACTTTGGAGGCTATGAAAGTACCGTTTTCAGGCTACGAAGGTGACAGTTTTGGGGCTATAAGCTTGCCACTTTGGGGGTGCAAAGGGCCCACTTTTGGGGTTGCATTTATACTACTTTGGGGCTATGATTGGAAACTTTTTGGGTCAAGATGTGCCACTTTGGGGGATACAACCATGCCATTCTTACATCTATAATGCTACCACTTTTGGGGTTGCAATGGGGTCGTTTTTGGGGTGCCGCTTTTGGAAACACAATCGGGTCGCATTTGGGGCCATATCAGTGCCACTTTTAAGGTGCCAAAACCACTCTGCTTTTATACCTGACGCATCTGTTGCCACTCCACTGCAAATAGTAGGCACGTGGGTCGACTACAAAGCCCATCATTTCAAAGGAGGATGGGAGTTGTAGTCCAACCGGATCCATCATCATGATTGGGGTTCTCTCACCCCGTTCGGAGGAGGAAACGAATGGCGGACGGCACAAGACTGGAAGGAGGGTTCCTCGTCCCATTTTCGGGGTGTCGACAACAAGTGGGTGTGAGTGCGAATGCATTGCCAGGTAACGTGTGGGCGGGGCCGCCTGTCAAGAGATGCAAATGACAGGCAGGGAGGCAATTCGGGACAGGTTTGGATGCACCTGCTTTTCCGGAATATTTCGCTCGCAGGACGGTCCCTGGAAGCCGGCGATCTCCTTCGGTACGTTTTTGGGGGGAATCGATTGCATTCTTGCTTTGCATCGCTTTGCAGGTATTTTTGCAAAACATTGCCTTTCTTAAGACCCTCTATTAGGGTGGCTGGGATTCCTAGTTTTCAAGGGACGCAGGTGCAAACTCTCCAAATTTGAAAACCTCCAAAGCGGCGAATTGCAAAGCATCTTTCTATCCTTTGCATTGTGGGATTCCTATGGGTCCTTCTCTTGGCGCCAGGGCTCACCCTCCACTCTGCTCTCCTTGCTTTGTGTGGTTAACACAGGATCCCATTGCCCCATTGCGGACGATGGGCCTTGTAGTCGCCAAGTTGGGATAATTTCCATTATGCAGTCCTCTTGGATA